GTGAAAAGGAATGTTTTAGGTCCTGGACTGACAACTGTAACTGTGGCGTACTGGGTGCATCAATGATTCAATGTTATCCCTGTGATTTTACATACAGATGCATCTGTAAGAGGACTTTCCAGAATTATTTATCCATAATAACAAATATGTACTGAAGTAAATTTTGTTTTCATATCTCATGAGTTAACTTTGTCTTGTCTGTTAATTTTGTTGTTATTCAGAAATTGAATTTTTTTTAAATTCAAAATAAATTAACTTGTGCCAAGTTTCCAAGGCTTCTGGAGTTTTTATTCTACATTTTTTCTTAGCATCACACAACATTACTGTCACAAACATTATCAAAATCCATTTGCAGGCTTACAGTAATATTTATACACTATTTTACACTATTTATTTCTAATTTATTTAATTTCAGCTTCATTTCCCCAAAACATTTTTAAATAACTTTAGATTTAAGTAACAATAACAACACCGCTGGTCCAAGGCTGTGATCAGATCTTTATTACACAGCATGTGATAAATGTTTTAACATGACATATCCACAAAGTTTTATTTTTTAAGATTTCAAAAAATGGAAAAATCACCCATAAATGAAATGTTTACACGTGTAAGACAGTGTGAAGAGTGGACAGAGCCTGGCCTAACCTCCTGCAAACTGTTAGGTTTAGGGCATGATCTGCAAAGCTGCATCAGTTCGTTTAGCTGAAATAATGATGGGTAGATCTGCACTATAAAGAACCTTTTGTGCAATGGAAAAGTTCTATAGATGTTAAAAGTTCTTCATAGAATCTCAGATTCCAATAAATAACCTTAAAAGTGTTCCTATCCTTTGGGAACTCCTATAAACTAAAAACTTAATTCTTTAATAAGGATATACAATCCTTGTTCATCCTGCTGCTGTTCATTTCAAGGAAAAGGTATTGTGCATTTAATCAGATATAACTGGAGTGCAAGATGAGTGAATGCTTGGCTAAAGAGGTGCATCTTTAATCTGGTTTTGAAGTGGGAGAGAGTGTTTGAGCCCCAAACATTATAAGGAAGGCTATTCCAGAGTTTAGATGCTAAATGCAAAAATGCTCAACCTCCTATAATGGACTTTGCTATCCTAGGTACTAGCAAAAGTCGAGATTTTTGTGACCATAAAGAATGTGGTGGATTGTAGCATGATAAAAGATCTGTTAAATACACAGGACTCAGGAGCTAAAGCATTTTAGGCCTTATAAGTAGCAAGAGATGATAAAATGTGGGGTTAGACCCTCAGAAAAAAACAAGCTGTCACTAAGGCAGTACCTTTTTTTAAAAGGTACTCCTTTGTACCTTATTTACCCCATATTAATACATAAAATATACATATTAATAACTAAGTGCACATATTTGTACCTTTTGAAGGGGTACCACCCCAGTGAAAACTTTTGTACCATTTCTCCTGAGAGAGTAGCAGCTGCATTTTGGACTAACTGTAGCTTGTTTAATAATGTGTGCATATTTGAAAATAAAAATATTGTTTGCAAATAGTTTGGATGCATAGATTCCAGTATTACTTAACTGGTGAGTTTATTATTCAAATTAACATTCAGAGTGATGAATATAAACTGGTAGCACGAGAGGATTTAACCTCTCTAGAACTGACACATAACAGGAATGGCTGATAAAACAACACATTTTTGTGTATTTTCACAATCACAGAGTTTTTTAATGTGGCACATAGGTATATTTATGGAGGAATCACACCAGTGAGAGGAAACATTTGCTGGCAGGAGAACATCAGACCACTGGATATATTAAAGGGGTCATATGATGCTGCTAAAAAGAACATTATTTTGTGTATTTGGTGTAATGAAATGTGTTTATGCGGTTTAAAGTAAAAAAAAAAACATTATTTTCCACATACTGTACATTATTGTTTCTCCTCTATGCCCCGCCTTTCTGAAACGCGTCGATTTTTACAAAACTAATCGGTCTGAAAAGCGGCGAAGTTGATGTATTTCCTCAGCTACCAGCACGGATCAGCTCTAGGCATGATGAAGCGGATATCGTCCTCTTTTGGAAGACCAAGCAAAGTAGTTTCGCTTTCACAACGAAACACACAGAGTCTTCACGACATGGTGGCGGCGGCAACAATACTACAGCGAGAATAAAAGTTACTCCTTCTTTCTTTGTGTGAACATTTGGGCGGTGTTATGCAAATCTTCCCACATAGTGTGGTAGATATGTGGGGGCGTGTTCGAACGAGCCGTTTTAGGTAGGTGTGGCAGACTCTTAACTTTGATAAAGAATATCTCTTTGGATTTGAGACTTTAGTCTTTACAACTTTACAGATCTTCTTTATGCACCAAGAGCTTGTAACACTCCAAAGAGAAAGGAAAAAATGAAATCGCATCATATGACCCCTTTAAATCATTTATCACATGTTATGGAAAAAGTCATTCATCTGTATATTTTTATAATGTGTGATGGTGATGTGGGGTTTTATATGGTGTGTAAATGATAAGAGACTTGTTGTTCAGAGCTCGTCATTTACCATCAGTGCACCTCCTGAATGGGGCAGCATCAGTGTCCTGGTGCACCTCACCCTGCTCGACCTGAGCTCTAGTGGATTTGGGTGGAGAGAAACAAGAGAAAAAAAGAGGCAAACCTCTGAAACCTTCCCTTTTTTTCTGCCTCTTTTTCTTTCTTTTCACCTCTCTCCTTTGTGCTCGCCTCCCTCATTAACGCCCACAACAGGCGTCTTGTCAAGATGAGGATGGAGCTCTGCCATGTGGTCGGTGGGTGTCAGGGTTTTCAGAGCTCGTCATTTACCATCAGTGCACCTCCTGAATGGGGCAGCATCAGTGTCCTGGTGCACCTCACCCTGCTCGACCTGAGCTCTAGTGGATTTGGGTGGAGAGAAACAAGAGAAAAAAAGAGGCAAACCTCTGAAACCTTCCCTTTTTTTCTGCCTCTTTTTCTTTCTTTTCCCCTCTCTCCTTTGTGCTCGCCTCCCTCATTAACGCCCACAACAGGCGTCTTGTCAAGATGAGGATGGAGCTCTGCCATGTGGTCGGTGGGTGTCAGGGTTGGACGGAGATTGACCCCATTCACACACACACCTCTGCTCGCTTTCTCTCCACAAGATAGTCGCTGTCCCATAATCAGCACAGTAAATCACTATCAAAAACTGCTGATATCACTAAACTCCTACTCACAACAAAGTGATTTATCCTGCGTCATGTTATAAGACTCCTGGAATTCCTCTGTGATATCATAAGGGCCCATACTGAGCTGAGCGCAGGAGATTCTCACACACATTAAAACAACATTACACAGTAAGATAATTTTGAGATGTAACTTTAACAAGCATTTAACAGCAGTATATTTACAAGTTTTTTTCAGCAAGAAAGCGTGAAGACAGATGTTTCATTTGTGCAGCGGCCCACAAAATAATATTTAATATCTAATGTGATCCATTACATCTTGACTTTACTTATTGACTAGCTGGTTAAATTGCAAGAATGGCTATTTCAAAAGATGCTGAAATATACAAATAATGAACAACAACAACAAAAAGCCCTTACTATTGCAACAATGTTTTTAATAGCATTGTAAAAGAATGTAAAGTAAATTCCACAGAGGGTTAGTAAGTAAGTAAATTTTATTTATATAACACATTTAAACATAGCAAAGCTATCCAAAGTGCTAAACAAAGTAAAGGAAAGCCAAATAAAGACAGAATAAAACCCAAAACCCAAACAAAACAGACAATAAAACAAAATTAGAATGAGTTTAAAATGCTAAGGAGTAGAGATACGTTTTCAACTTCGATTTAAAAATGGCAATAGAAGGTGCAAGGCAGCTGTCCAGAGGCAGTTGATTCCACAGACGGGAGGTCTGAGTCTCTTAATCTCCCTTAGTTTTTAACGGTAATGAGGGACGGATAAAAGAGCCCTGTCAGAAGATCTTAAAAATCTGGTAGATGACAGAGGAGTTAGAAGGTCTTTAAGATAGGATGGAGCTTGGTCATTAAGAGCTTTAAAAACAAACATCACAAGTTTAAACTGAATTCTAAAATGGACCGGAAGCCAATGAAGCGAAGCTAAAATTGGGGTGACATGGTCATATTTCTTTGCCCTGGTCAACAGACTTGCAGCTACATTTTGTACCATCTGGAGGCATGCAAGCGATGACTGAAGAAGACCCAAATACAGTGAATGAATAATCTAAACATGAGGTAATAAAAGCATGAATAAGCTTCTCCAAGTCTTGAAAAGACAACAATGTTTTAAGTTTGGAAAGAATCTGCAGTTGATAAAAACTGTTCTTAACAACAGAATTGATTTGTTTGGATAAACATAATTCTGAATCCAGGATAACACCAAGGTTCCTAACCTGGGAGGAAATTGAGGGGAAATTATTGCCCAGCTCCTTAATGAGACCATTCCTCAATTTTGAGTGAACAAAAACAATTACTATTTCTGATTTGTCTTCACTAAGTTGGAGAAAGTTATTTGAAAACCACTTCTTAATATCCGAGATACATTCCAACAATGGTTGAATGGAATCGCCAGCTTTTCAGCATATAAATGAAATGAAATATTTTGTGCTTCCTAATAATATCCCCCAGTGGACGCATATATAAGTTAAGAAGAAGTGGCCCAGAATAGAGCCCTGGGGCACTCCACTAATAATAGGGGCAGAATATGAAGAGAACTTGCCTAACTCTACAGAAAAAGACATGTCTTTGAGCTGAACCATCAAATCGATCAAATCAGAACCTTATGATCTACAGTGTCAAAGGCAGCTGTAAGATCAAGTAGTATCAATACAGCATTTTTACCGGCATCAACTGTAAGCAAAATGTCATTGAACACTTTTAGGAAGGCAGACTCTAGCTGCATTTAAAAAATGCCGCAGTGACCTGTGATTTATTTATGTATTTATTTTATTTTATTTTTTTGAGTTCATATATGATTCCTTTAGATTTTACCTTAGATTTCGCGTGTCGATAGTTTGAGGCGGTCGGCAAGAGGAAGTCCACTATCTGTGTGTCAAAACACACTTTATTCTTACTTGGGCCACAAGCAAGTGAATTTATCGCGTTTGGGGCTCATATTCAGCATGGCTAAGCTTCAGTCTGGTAACGGAGTGCAGTGGAAGGACAGCAGGAGTCAGCGGGGCACGGTGGAGAGTCTGGCCGAGCACGAGAACTCTTCTCTGGGCTCGGACTCTGAGCTCAACGGCTTCGCCAACACGGAGATCCAGACAGACAAGTACGGATTCATAGGAGGAGCTCAACAAAGCACAGGAGAACAGTAAGTGACAGTTACATTTATGGATGTAAAAGAAAGACTTTAAACCATTAATAACTTTTTATACTATAGAAACAGATAATAGAATAGCTATGAATGTGTTTGTAACTCTTTATAATAACTCCCAGATCTTATTGCATTATGTAATACTCATCATGAACAACAGTTATAAATAAATGTGAAACTTTTGCATACACATTCAAAAGCCCTTGAGCTACTGATTAAGCATTATGTAATGACTTACTCATGAAAGTTACTGTGAAGCACACTGATGTTTTTTGTTTTGCTTTATTGGAGTTAGTGCAACATTTTCACACCTTCATGAGTGCCTTCATTAAGTGGACTCTGAATTGTTTTTGAGGACAGTCTTCATCCTCGTCCATGCGAGCACAGATGAGTTGACAGGTCTATAATGCCACTGAAGTCCCCAGTGGTTGTTCTTGCTGAGTTCTTCTAATATGACCAGCTTTGAGAAGTGCTTGGTCAGCTCACATTCCTCCATCCATTTAAGAATGGACGTTGTATAATATTATAAGCTGTGTTTGTGTGTGTGCTATCATTTGCTTGCCTTTTTCTGGGATTTGTAGAAATGTAGTGAAGTCAAATTTTAGTAAATCAGTATAATAAGAACTGGATTAGTAAGTAACAGTTAATGTGTTTTTTTATTCATAAAGCGAAATATGTTTCCATACAAAGATTTGGACAGGAATATATAAATTAACAAGTTTTTATTCATGTTTTTGAAAGAAGTCTCTTATGCTCACCAAAAGCTGCATTTATTTGATCAAAAATACAGTAAAATATTAATATTGTGAAATATTATAATTTAAAGTAATTGTTTTCTATGTTAACATATTTTTAAATGTATTTTATTCCTGTTGGCAGAGCTGAATGTTCAGCATCATTACTCCAGTCTTCAGTGTCACGTGATCCTTCAGAAATCATTCTAATATGCTGATTTGCTGCGCAACAAACATTTCTGATTATTATCAATGTTGAAAACAGTTGTGCTGCTTCATGTTTTTGTGGAAATTGGAGTGCTTTTTTCAGAATTCTTTGAAGAATAGAAAGTTTGAAAGTAAATCATTTATAAGAAATAGAAGAAATATCTTTTGTAACATTATGAATGTCTTTACTGTTACATTTGATCAATTTAGTGCATCCTTGCTGAAGTATTAATTCCTTTAAAAGGTCTTACTTTTGAAATGTAGTGTATTAGCCTCAGGACTGGATATATTGTGCACATTCATTTTTTTCATGCCAAAATTCATATTCATGCCAAATTCATTTTTTCCCTCTAGATGATCCAGTAAATTGCCAGCATCCTCCTCTTCTGCAGCTATTACAAACACTTGTCTGTTTTGCGTTGACTTACATGAGTGTCTCTAATGACTCTGGACAATGCAGTTCTGTTTGGCCAAGCAACCATTCACTGATCAGATTAATCTGCTGTTGAATTAATAGCAGAAAGGCGCATCTGTCCTCTACAGTTCTCATGAAGAATGTCTCTTATTCCCTGTACAACAGAACGTTTCTTTTCAGTCTCTCATTGAGACTCATGCAGGAGTTTCCCCTCATGCTGTGAGCTCCCTTTAGCACTCAGAATTGCTCATTGATTTGTTTTGGCAGAACCTCGCTGCAAGTGTTTTCAGTTTTGAAATGAAACTGCTCAGTGACTCATTCAGTTCATTCGACAAGCAGTAGTGTGGCGGTCAGGCATCTAAATAGTTTTAATTGCTGATAAAATAAACGGCTCAAATCATCTGTCAGACATACAGTCTGTTTTAAACTCTGATGAGTATTAGCGGCCCACACAGAAACTCCAAAATGTATGCACATCCGCTTATCCTCACATCTTCTGCTGATCCTCGCATCTACGCTTATGTAATTTTTTGGCAGGTAACACATCTTGTATAATATAATGAGATACTTATGATTTGCATATTGCTTGGAAAAATATTTTATCAGAATACACAGCTTCTTATAAAGGCCCTCAATTGTTTATTTTTTTAATTTTTTTAAGTAATACTATTTAGCAGGGTTGCATTATATTGATCAAAAGTGACAGTAAAGACATTTATATTCTATTCTTCCTGTTTTGTCTGTTCAACGAATCCTGAAAAATATAAAGCATTGATAATAATCAACATTGATAATAATAATAAATGTTCCTTGAGCAGCAAATCAGCATATTAGAATGTTTTCTGAAGGATCATGTGACACTGACGACTGGAGTAATGGTGCTGAAAATTCAGCTTTGCATCATTGGAATAAATTACATGTTAAAATATATTGACATAAAAAAAAAGTTATTTTGAAGTGTAATAATATTTCACAATATTGCTGCTTTTAGTTGGATTTTCCATCAAATAAATGTAGCTTTGTTGAGCAATAAGAGACTTCTTTCAAAAACATGAAAAAAATCTTACTGACCCCAAATTTTTCCCCACGGTTTTTTTTTCTGTAAGTATAATACTCTCAACTTCTTTTTTGTTTTTGTTTTTTTTCATGATAAAATCCATTCCTCAGAAATCTGCTGATACTCCATTCTTGGCCTGACTTTAAGAAATGGATTGCATTAGTTCTGGCTTTGTCTCTTGAAAAAAAGTCTGTGCATTTTTACTGGAAAATGGCATTTTTCTCACACACATCGCTCTCTCTTTCCCATCAAATATTGTATAAAAGAGGTCTTTGAGGATTCTATGATTACTATGGATCCTCATGACAAAAATATCGTTCATACTTAATGAGATTAAAGTCTGTTTGAGAAAGAGGGCTGTGCTCATGCTACGAGGACAGTGTGTCTGCACAATGACAATTGCACTTCTCTATGGAGAATCATTTACATTTCACTGTTTGGCTTTTGTTTCCCTACGTTTGTTTACTACTGCCTAGGAGATGAAACCAAGTGCCAAGCCTCTGGGGAGTTTGTTTTAGTGCACCAGATCACTTTTGGCATGCACATAACAGAGCTTCATCTGTGTTTGTTCTGATGTGCTCTGAGAGGAGAGTTTTCATTTTTTGACTTTTGAGCGAGAGAAAAGATGACAGGAATTTGCTTTCGCTCTTCAGCTGTGCCGCAGCATACAGAGCAACAGAAGTAGTTTTTCATCTCGCAAGTCAAATTATGGTAGTTACACTCACTGAGGAGTTCAGCATTGCTTTGCTGTATTGACAGCTGAGTGTGGCCCGCTGTGAAATCAAAACCCTCTCCAAAAGAGTTTGTATGTTATCGCATGATTAATTGGAACCTGTGGCCATAAAATTTTTTTTTGGTGATGGTTTTCTCGCACATAATGTGATTCATCCAATCAGAAAATAGTCTGGCCTGAACTATCCATGTAATATATTAACATTAACACTTTGAGTTCTTATTTTGCCGGAGTTTGTCTGTCTGTCTGCTTGTCGTTTTAGCCTTGTGTGTTAGCAAGCACCAGGAAGGGAAAGGACAAGTAAAGAGAGCAAAGGGATATTTTTTGACATTCATGTGATTCCTGTTTTCCTCCTCTACTAACTGGTCTGAAGAACGTGTCTATAGGGTGAAAGGAAACACTTTCTGAGTACTTATGATACTTGAAGGGTCAAAGGGCACATGCTCAACCCTTTCCATGAGACAATTCCTCTTGTACTTCATAAGCCCGTCCTCCAATCTCCATTCAACACTCCATTCAACTGTCTCTGTGTTTTCAGCGTAACATAATTAGCTCAACCTGTGTACACGGGAAAAGTAAACAGGCAAACGGCGGGCCCTAATTCTGTTCCATAGATCTAAACAACCGCAATCATCTGTAATCTGATCGCTGACGATAATCCAATGTGTACATGTGGACTTCGTAATCTGTGTGTACACTGCACGTGTGTGAGTATATTTGCTTTCCATTTCAAGACCGAGCGTCTGCATGAGCCATCAGGGTTTATGCAGCCTGTCCTGTCACTGACATTTTGCCAGGGGATTATTGGATCCCTTTGTATCTCGGGGATGGGCTTTCATAACATGCTTTTCATCCATCATCATCATAACATGCATTTCCTCCATCATAAGCGACAAATAAGTGTCCACAATAAAGAAAAGGAAAAAAATGTTTCAAAATCTGTGCCACATTCTTAGAAATGTACTTTTTTTTTTGTTTGTTAGTTCCATATGGTTTTGAAAAACTTTTATAACCTTTTCAACTGTAAAAGTGTCATTTGGTGTAACCATCAAACAAAATGTATAAACATATTTCCCTTACACTTTGAATTCTTGTGTACACATTTTAAGCATTATTTTCAAAAACTTGTAAAATATATTGCAAGGTAAAAAGTAGTATTTACAAATATTCTGATTCTGAATTCATTAATATCAAGCTTTTAAAGAGTTGCACCACATGACATTTTGTAACTGTACCTTGCCATAAAAATATAAAATTATCTTAAAAGACAAAAGGACACAGTCATAAGGGTCTGCATGTAACCTCTCTATGATATAATTTTCTCTTTTATGTTTTTCAAAGCAATAGTTTTTTCTGCATATTGGTCGCACCACATGACTTTGATATGGCCGACAAAAGTGTTTTTTTAATATTAATACGCAATTTTATTTCTAAGAAATAACAAAAAATAACCAAAATACCTTTCTAATTTATTTTTGAATAAAATAACAAATCCATAAAAAAATCTGCATCATGCCAATGAGTAATAATCATGTAATCTGTGTTCATTGTATGCTCATCTTGTCCCATTTTTTTTTGGAAGAAAGGCACTGTTAAAATATTCTTCAGTGTTTAATATGCTAATTTGACTCCTCTGACATGAGTCAGTCCACCTCCCACCGATCACTGCGGTTATAAAACACAGAAGCAGGACCAGAGCCATTAGAAGTGCTGTTTTTAATGCTCTTATTGAGGTTAAGTTATTCAAACAAACTCCAACTCTAATTGTAGTGGCAGGTTTTGCACAAGCGCTCATGTCTTAAGAAATGTAACCTCCTTTTTTTTCTTTTTTTTTTAAACGATTACTGTAAGTCTCTGTATTGTATTCTTTTCTTGTTGTTTTTTTTGGTAATCTGATATAAATGCACTCAATCACATGTTAAGGGTGTGTCTGTCAGCTGGATATAATAAACAGCATTTCAAGCCGAGGCGCTGGGGTCACTTAATCAGACAGAACACAAGTAAAGAAAGATTCCCAGAAACACTGCTTTCCCCAGAGATCTTCCCCGCTCTGACTGTCCATATTGTTCTTATAAACAGTCATCCCACATTAACATCACTTTTTATGGTTGTGCAGCCTAGTAATACATTTGAAGGCATTGCTGCTAATTTGCTAAATATGATGGTAATAGTTGAAAACGGGTGTTTTTTCTACTGCAGTGGGAAGCAGCAGCTTGTGTTTTGGATTTCCCTCAGAAGATCTTCCTGTGAACATATGATGACACCCACAGTACTCAGTTTCAATTGAGATAATTTGACACCCACATTATGCTTTTCAAACAGTGCCTTGCTGTTGTTGTGGACATATCAGGTCAAGAGATATCAAGCTTCTTCATGTATAAGGATGAGTTTGTAAACATATAGGGATGAATTTCTAAACATATAGGGATGAGTTTGTAAATAGTATGTATATAAGGGTTTATTTGTAAATAAATAGGTGTGAGTTTATAAATTAATAGGGATGAGTATGTAAATATGCAAGGATTGATTTGTAAATAAATGGGAAGGAATTCGTAAATATGAAAGGATAAGTTTGCTACTAAATAGGGATGAGATTGCAAAAAGGGATGAGTTTGTTAATATATCGGGATACATTTCTAAGGGTATGTTTACATGACAACGATGTTACTAAATACGTCAAAGTTTTTCCTTTGCGTTTTTAAAAATGTTTTGCGTACAGACGACAGCATTGCCAAAATTATCCCCGTTCACACTGATCCGTGAAAACGTCTAAAAACGCTGTATTATTCATGCCAGGACAGTAGATGGCGATGTCACTTGTGAAGAAACACTATGCGTCTGCACACGTACACATGCCTATAGAATGAACACATAAAACGCATTCGTATGACGTCACCGATTTCAAAAGTTTGCATTTTCAGGCCCCCAAAATGCCTTTGATGTGTAAATGAGCAGCCAAAGTGTATACAATTTTTTTCTGTTTTTAGTTGAAAATGGTGTCATGTAAATGCTCCCTAAATAAATACGGTGAGTTTGTAAATAACTTGGTGTGAGTTTGTTAATATAGCCTATAGGGATGAGTTTATAAATATATAAAGATGAGCTTCTAAATGTATAGGGATGAGAATCAAAAGAAAATGTCATTTTTTTAAATCCAATTTTTACAGATTCCAATAATGTTTTATTTAAATCTGTTCCCAGATCATTTCTGTACATCTATAAAATGTGTCTTAGCAGTGTGTGGACACAACCACCCTACAATGGAATGGGGAAGTCGTGGCCTAATGGTTAGAGAGTCGGACTCATAACCCAAAGGTTGCGGGTTCGAGTCTCGTACCGGCAGGGATTGTAGGTGGGGGGAGTGAATGTACAGCGCTCTCTCCCACCTTCAATACCACGACTGAGGTGCCCTTGAGCAAGGCACCGAACCCCCAACTGCTCCCCGGGCGCCGCAGCATAAAAATGGCTGCCCACTGCTCCGGGTGTGTGTTCACGGTGTGTGTGTGTTCACTGCTGTGTGTGTGCACTTTGGATGGGATAAATGCAGAGCACTAATTCCGAGTATGGGTCACCATACTTGGCCACATGTCACGTCACTCACACTCACTCAATGATAAAAATCCATTCACTCCTTGTTTTTAATCCCTCAAAAACCTAAACGGTCTCAATTATCAAGCCGTTTTGATCTTCTGAGCTGTATGATGTCATAATGCTCAGGCCCCGCCCACGGCCATTGACGGACTGCCCCGTATTAGCATGTCTCCGCCCTCAGCCAGTTGTACGCTGTCTGCCATTTTCTCTGCACTCGAGCAGCTGTAGCCACAACGTCGAGTAAGCAAAGCAGGTGTTTTGTAGTAGGATGTAAAAGTGAACATAAGAGTCTTCATTTTCTCCCGACATCAGAGCCACTGAGGACTCGGTGGATTAGTTTTGTTTTTGATGGTAATGTGCCACTGAATACACAAAAAACGGCATAGAGGGGCGGGGTGAGCAGAGCTCATTAGCATTTAAAGAGACATGCACCGAAACGGGTCGCTGTGAACACAGCTGTTTTTGACTAGGTAAAAAGGGTGTTGTTTTACATGACCATTGAGGAATTTTAACCAAAGTACCAAAGCATTTTATGAAGACCCTAAAAAATCATACCAACTTGTAGAAAATGGGCATCCGATGTCCCCTTTAAGATTTGAATATTTAACTACACATAACACAGTAACAGTTTTCTCGTTTCATATCAGGGACCCGATGAAAGCAACCAAGTCCTCTGACCTTTTTAGTGAGGGATTGGGTTGTTAGGCTGATTTAAATCATCATTGTCTGTTCAGTAACAACCATGCTGTTACTAAATAGCGTTGCAGAAAACACTGAGTGACAAATGCACCATTATAGAGGGGCGGGGTGAGCAGAGCTCATTAGCATTTAAAGAGACATGCACCGAAACGGGTCGCTGTGAACACAGCTGTTTTTGACTAGGTAAAAAGGGTGTTGTTTTACATGACCATTGAGGAATTTTAACCAAAGTACCAAAGCATTTTATGAAGACCCTAAAAAATCATACCAACTTGTAGAAAATGGGCATCCGATGTCCCCTTTAAGATTTGAATATTTAACTACACATAACACAGTAACAGTTTTCTCGTTTCATATCAGGGACCCGATGAAAGCAACCAAGTCCTCTGACCTTTTTAGTGAGGGATTGGGTTGTTAGGCTGATTTAAATCATCATTGTCTGTTCAGTAACAACCATGCTGTTACTAAATAGCGTTGCAGAAAACACTGAGTGACAAATGCACCATTGCCATTAACAGAACAGAATGTGTTGAACGTCTGTTCTGAACAAGAACCAGTTCTCAGTTCCCAACCCTGTATTTGCTAACATGTGTGATTTTGTAGGCGTGGGTGTGCTTGCATGCATATTATATCAGATAAATGATCTAATCTCTTTTTGTTCTCACTCAATGCAGTGATAATATTCCTCCAGATGTGCTCCGGCAGAGAGAAGCCAAATGGCTGGATATGCTCACCAGTTGGGACAAGTGGATGGCCAAAAAACACAAGAAGGTTGGTCTCTGACAAACAGACCTGTGTCCACAGGTTTTATTTATGTTCTCGAATAGCTCAGGTTCTTTAGAGAATGCTGTAACATACATAAAATGCTCAACAAGATGTTATCTTAGGAATTTGACTGCACATTTCACATTGTGTGCTTCCAAAGTCACAAACCTTTTATAGAATCAGATAAAGTTATGAGCAGACCCACATGAAATATCCGCCCACAGAACTCCTTATTGTATTATTTATATTGACCTTTGGCCACCCATGTGCTTTAGATATCAGCCATTTAAAAACACACATTTGTCATAAATGTTGTTAAATATTATTTGCTTTTATAATTCTCGTTTATGGTTTTCTTGGTTCTGAATTTCTCTCCAATGACCAGCATTCCAGACAAAATACAGGGTTAGTCGTTTCTCAAGTTAACAGCAGCTGGATGCCACATCAGCAGCTCATGCATAATTACTGTAATTCTGCTCGACACGGCCTGTCACATTTTACCATCCAATTAAGCAAATAGAAATTAAATACACTTTCATGTCTTTATTTCTTGAACACTAGTGAATTATGCAAGCTCTCTAAATGAACTCTGAATGTGTAAAGTGCTCTGGTATTGATGGTGGTTTGTGTCAATCACAAAAAAGTATAAACTGAGTTTGTGAATGCAAGTGCTCAAATGAATAATATTTCAATTATATTAAGACAAAAGGTCATAGTTTATCCTAATATGCAAGTGTACAAGCTCAGTGTCTCTCTCCATCTCTCTGAAGGTAAAGTTGCGCTGTCAGAAGGGCATCCCTCCATCACTCAGAGGTCGTGCGTGGCTTTATCTCTCTGGTGGGAAAGTGAAGAAAGAACAGAATCAGGGCAAATTTCAGGTTTGTCCACTTGAACCTTTGACAGCGGCATGGCTCTGTTCCAAAACAATTTGATTATGCCACCTTAAGACACCATATTTTTATCCAAATTTTAAGGCAGCCAAAATATGAAGCAGCACAGCTGTTTTCAACACTGATAATGATAAGACATGGTAAATGATTTCTGAAGGATCATGTGACACTGAAGACTGAAGTAATGATGCTGAAAATTCAGGCTTTAGTCACATTTTATAATCTATTATGATAGAAAACAGTTATTTTAAATTGTAATATTTTACAATATTATTGTTTTCACCATACTTTGATCAAATAAATGCAGCCTTAGTGAGCATAAAATACTTCTTTTATAAACCTTAAAAAAAATCTTAACCTTTCTTAATGATCCTTAACTTTTATATCCTTTACAGGGATCGAAATCCCATGATGCAAGGTTCAAGGTGGTGGACAAAGCATAGAAATGTTTTTTTTTTTTTTTAAATCAATATAAATTTCATTCAATATTTAACATTTCAGTGTAACTAAAAATTGACACTTACCCAGTATTTGTGTGCGTTATGTATTTTTATGCCAACTCAGACCTCTAATCAGTTATCATTCTGTTTTGGGGTTTAAAAGACTATAACATTCAGTAATATTCATTTAACTGCACTGACACAATCAAATGAGAACATTTGAGCTGAATTGAGCTGAACAATCACACTATTGCCTGCTTTAAAGCTTTTAAGCTGCTTTACAGCTGAAATTGAATTCTTAACTGCACTGACACAATCAAATGAGAACATTTGAGCTGAATTGAGCTGAACAATCACACTATTGCCTTCTATAAAGCTGCTTTACAGCTGAAATTGAATTAATTTCATAATTCATGAAATGTTTTATGATGATGTTTCATTAATGTGAAGCTGCTTTGCAACAGTCTGTATTGTATAAACTGTTAGACAAATAAACATGATTTGACTTTATATGGCAGGAGTTGGACAGTCAGCCTGGAGATCCTAAATGGCTGGATGTGATCGAGAAAGACCTCCACAGACAGTTTCCATTCCACGAGATGTTCGTAGCCCGGGGAGGCCATGGGTAAGTCTGCCCTCCCTTCACCTGCAGGCCTCTTCTTTTGAACCCCATCACTTCTGTTACATCATCCAGTCGTGTGTGTGCAGGCAGCAGGATCTGTTCCGGGTGCTGAAGGCGTACACACTGCACAGACCAGAGGAGGGTTACTGTCAGGCTCAAGCTCCTATAGCTGCAGTGCTGCTCATGCACATGCCTGCTGAGGTCAGTTTGCAGTCCATTATTGTGCTTCTCTCTGATCACTCACTGACAGATGGCCCTCATTGTAGTTTTGAATGCATTTCATAAATTATTTATTGATTTATATATTTATCTATTATGATGTTTTATATGTGAAAACACTAGAATTATTGGTAACACTTGAAGCCTTTATGTATAATGCACTATAAATGTACTCATAATGTGAGTTATAATGCAGTATATTTTCACACATACTTGTAACCCAAGTTAAAATGCATTATAAACTTTGCAGATTTCTTGTTGTGTCTGAAATTGGTAGTTTGTCGTGTTTTAATGCATTATATTTTATCAAGGTGTAACAATGAATATAAATGATTTGTGAATGAGATCATATAATGCATTACATGGCATAATTAAAGGAATTTTTCACTGAGAAATGAAAATTTCCTGAAAATGTATTCACCCTCAGGCCATCCAAGATGTAGGTGAGTTTGTTTCTTCATCAGAACAGATTTGGAGAAATGTAGCATTGCATCACTTGCTCACCAATTGATCCTCTGCAGTGAATGGGTGCCGTCAGAATGAGTCCAAACAGCTGATAAAAACATCACAATAATCCACAATTAATGTAACGGTTAACATCTTGAAGTGAAAAGCTGCGTGTTTGCAAGAAATAAATGTCATAAAGGCGTTTTACCTTGAAACTGTTGCTTCTGGCCAAAATATGAGTCCATAATCCATAATAACGCTTCCTCCAGTGAAAAAGTCCATCTCCTGTTGTCCTCCCACATCAAAATCCACCTAAAACTGTTTTCGAAAAAGCAATATTATGGACTTATATTATGGACTCATATTTTAGCTGGAAGCAGTGGGTTGAAGTTAAAAAGGTCTTGATGGGATTTGTTTCTTACAAATACGCAGCTTTTGGCTTCACAAGATGTTAACTGATGAACTGGAGCGGTGTGGATTATTGTAATGTTTTTATCAGCTGTTTGGACTCTCATTCTGACGGCACCCATTCACTGCAGAGGATCCATTGGTGAGCAAGTGATGTAATGCTACATTTCTCCTAATCTGTTCTGATGAAGAAACAAACTCACCTACATCTCGGATGACTTGAGGGTGAGTCAATTTTTTTTAGCAAATCTTCATTTTTGGGTAAACTATTCCTTTAAAGGCTTTAAGTAAAGTATTACAGAATTTTCTTTATTAATATAATATTTATCAGTTTCAGTGGTTTTAATTATTTGAGTACAGTAGCAAGTTAAACTCATACCCTATTCTGGTCTTTTACTCTTTTATGGTCATGCTCTGGCAGGATGCATTCTGGGGTCTGGTCCAGATCTGTGAGAAGTATCTGCCCGGATACTACAGCGCAGGCCTGGTAAGTGGAGACAGTATACAGTCCTCCTCCATTTAGCACTTGTCACTATGTTGTCAACCCAAAGATTCACACGAGAGCAATCAATCACCCTGAAACACTCGATCGATCAATGACGAGATGCTGATGCTCTCATGTTGATGTGGGAAATTTGCTGATGTAGAGAGCTGTTCGTCAGAGAGATCAGAGTTCAAGGGTTGCTCCTCTTGTGCTTCACATCCTGTCTAATCCAGAACTTATTAACCAGGCTAAACTGTGGCTGAAGTGCCCTGTCTCAACAAGACTCGTGCAGCACAATAGCTATTTCATTTGGGAATTTATGACTTCTGTCAAGATCCCTCATTTAACACTTCATCTATTGTCAAAATGATGACAAAATAAATAATCAGTCAAATTATTGAAAATATTCAAATCAGAAATGTCCGTCAAATCTGCACAACTTCCTGTTTCTGTCAGAAACCCACACGTTGAACGCTGTTCACTAACCCAGCAAAGTGTCCAGCATGCAGTTTTTTTTTTACAGTTTAGTTAATGATGCACAATGTATTGGTACCATCTCGAATTCTTTTTTGTTTATCAGTATCGGTTGCTATTGTCTGTATCGGCCAATAATGAATATTTAATTATGCATGGTTTTTCGGTTTATGATTATAATTAATTTCCTACTTTTTTACTTTTAAATAGCCTTTGCAGTTATCTAATTTTCACTTAAAATTCATCTTTAAAAACACTAAACATCATTAAATGTAATCTATGATGGATTTAGCAAATATCAAAATGAATATCCATTTTTCATACAGTAAATTATGATATTGTGATGCTTAAATTCACTTCAAAACATTTAATGTAAAATAACATCAAAAATTGAATATATTGCAGCATATTGGATGTATAATGTCCAGTCATGTGGAGCAGGATTTTTTAGGATTTTATTGTGTGCAGGGTTACCTGTTGCTTTCATTAGGGTGCTAATTAATTAATTAATTAATGCTAATTACTCTCAAATGGACCAGTGTAGTCTTAAGTGTCTCTAAACCCGCTGTTGTTCTAAACAGTTGTTTTCATCTTTCTCTCATATATGTAGTTTGTGCATAATGTGTTTGCTGGCCTGTTCTATTACCTGGAATCCAGTGCAATCCCAGCTTTATGTGAGGTCTTTTGTGTCTGACCTTCAGGAGCAGAGTGGGTGGTAGATAAGGAGTGAATTAAACCAACATCAGGATCTTGCTGTCTCTCTTTATCACTGGTTCTAACTCTCTTCTGCCTGGGGGGTTTCCTCTTACCATTCCTGTTTTAAGCTTGTGAATTGTTGCCGTCACAAAATTTGTTTATCACATCAATGTAAATAACTTGTATTTGCAAGAGCGTCAGATCATAGGAACTTATCAGCAAAATAATTCAGTCACCACATATAATTTACATTTTGAGAATCTCTTTAAAATGAAAAGTTGTTATAGGGAAATGGATCCACTGCGGTACATGCCAGATTTCCCTTTGTCATCTTTCTTTGTTTCCTCCTCATCTTTCTCTTCACAGGAGGCCATCCAGTTAGACGGCGAGATCTTGTTCGCTCTGCTCAAGCGCGTGTCCCCGGTGGCCCACCGGCATCTGAAGAAATACAAGATTGACCCTATCCTCTACATGACTGAGTGGTTCATGTGTGCCTTCTCCAGGACGCTGCCCTGGGTGTCTGTCCTGCGCATGTGGGACATGTTCTTCTGTGAGGGTGAGATTCACTCTTAAAGCCTATCCAATACCATATGCACTTTGTCCTTTCTTTTTACCGCACCCCTCCACCAATGAAAAAACTGTTTACAGCTCACTGGATTCACACCTTGCTACTTGTGACATTTACTTGCAGACTGCAAAAACTTGATGCCAAAGCAGAAGTGTAAATGTTTAACATGCTTACTTTTGGACATCAAGATGTCCTAGTAAGGACTTTTTTTTTTTTTTAAATAAAAATATAATTCTAATTATGTTATTTAATGGTGATCGATGAATTAAACGAATTCAGTGAATAATGTATTAAAATACATGTTCAAAATAAAATAAAAAAAATTAAGAGAATTAAAAAAAATTTAATTAGGAAAAAATACTAATAATTTATCATTAGAAAAATAATGTGTTTTTTGAACATTAAAGCATGTCAACATATTCTGTTACACCAAATACACAAAATAATGATCTTTAAAAAAGCATCATATGACCCCTTTAAATAAAAAGTAGGATGCACATGTTTTGCAGTATTGCCATTCTATTATGAAACTTATGATATACAAGTAGTGCAAATGTTTCTGTCTTAGATGTTACTTTGTTTGATGGGCATGCATGTCTGTGTGCGTTGCAGGAGTGAAGATCATCTTCCGTGTGGGTCTGGTGCTGCTGAAGTGCATGCTGGGATCTCAGGAGAAACTGAAAGCGTGTCAGGGCCAGTATGAGACCATGGAGCTGCTCAGATCTATTGAGCCACGATACATGCAGGAGGCTTTCCTAGTGCAAGAGGTATTGCCCACACATACACCTATGAGCTGTACTTCAACTTAAAACTTACTTTTAATTTAAAACATTTTTTAACATGGACTAAAAATGTAAAATATCCATATTTCTTTTCCTGAGAGATGGTACACACTGAATAACAGTGTAGCACTACTACCACAGGAATTGTTTATGATTGTGTATTACATGCTGCTTCACATACTTATTAAAGGGGTCATATGATGCGAGTATGTGGAAAATAATGTGTTTTTTGAACCTTAAACCGCATAAACACATTTCATTACACCAAATACACAAAATAATGTTCTTTTTAGCAACATCATATGACCCCTTTAATAGAAATAGGCAGTACACATTATTTCCTGTGCAGTATGTACTCCGCAGTAGTCAGACATAGGCTGTGACTCCCCCTGCTGGTTGCTTTTGGCACATGCATGCATTAAACAGTACAATTTGATTTGCCAGATAATAGTCCTCTGAAAAATTCTCACTTAAATGAATTAAATATACTTATTTTGTACAGATTTATTATTGTTATTGCCTTTTAAAAAACATACATCCCCACCATTTCAGGTCATTGAGTTGGCCGTGTCTGAGCGAGACATAGAGAAGGAACATCTCTCTCAGCTCCGGCGCTGGAAGGAGACCCACGGAGAGCTGCACTGTAAATCCCCTCCCAGAATGCACGGCGCCAAAGCCATCATGGCCGCTGAGCCGCCCAGTCGCCAGGACCTCAAACAAAACCCCACGATCGTCGTCGAAGTACCGCAGACCTCCGAGAGCAAGATGGAGAAAGGGAAAAAAGCGAAGAGCAAAGTGGAGAAGAAAACAGACACGAAAAACACCTCGCCACCTCTTAATCCGTATCTGTTACCCAGCGACCCAGCATTACAGAGCGATAACCTCGCGCCCAGCGAATCGCAGCACCTGCAGGAAGACACGCCCCCGCAGGGCTCCAATCAGAGTCTCAGTAGCTCCGAACACGACACCTACCTGTAAAGCGCTGGAAGAGGGACGCCAGTGCTGACCGCTGAATGTTTACTGTGCAGAAACATCTGCCTCCCCACTCTCAGGATTTGGCATCGAAGGAGAGATCACATAACACAAAACATACTTATGGGAGTCACAATCACATAGGAGAGCATGGATAAAACCGTACATCATGAGGTTTTCAACTGTGTTTACATGATTATATGTATATGTGTGTGTGCATGGTTGGAAATGAAATGAAGGACAAAGAGCAAAAACCATCTCTCAGATCTCCAAATGAAGCGTTAATGAGCTGCGCTGGATGCAGATGTTCTTATGCTGTTTAAACTAGTTATGATTCCTGTTAGCGAGTGCAGAGGACATACTGTAGTGGGATGCAAGTACATTTCCATCATCTGCCTCAGGAGACTGAATTTGTCTGTTTTTGTATTTTTAAAGGAATAAACAAAAAAATATTTAAGCATAAGTTTAAGATTTATGCTTTTGAACTGCATATAAAATTTCCATCCATTAGGTTTACACAGTTTTAACAGGAGCAAACTAATGCACCTAATGTGATGCATTTTTGTCTGTCATACATAAATGAAACGGGTTAGATTTCTGTAGTTGTACTGAACTGAATGTGTTTAAGTGCACAGTTTATATATTTATTATCATCCCATACTAATATTAAATTTTTTTTGTTTGTTTCACAGCTAGCCGAATTTTAACCATGTTCATTCAACTGAATCAATTTAATTGTTTTCACAATGACCATATTTATGCTGATTGATTGTCAGTTTATGATAAAACCATGTAATCCAAATGGATGGAAATTTCATATGCATTTCAAACACATACATTTTAGGGCTATATATATATATATATTATTATTATTTATTTTATTTTTTTTGAGTGAACAGTTAACGAAAAAAGAAAAAAAAATATCACCCTTGTCGCGATCTTATTTTGTGGAACCAAAAAGCAGCAATTTTGAAGAATCTTTTCACTGCAAATTTCCACAGAGACCCGTCCGAAAAAAATCTCCGAAAAGCATTAAAATGCCTTTCAGGAATGTTATATGCTAATATAGACTGCTTTAATGGTGTTTCCTGAACTTTTAGGTCGGAAGACCTGCATTAATATTCTTCAGAAAAATCTGAGCGAGTAAATAATAACTGACTGAATTGTTCCTTTAACTATTTGATATTAGCATCAAGATGATTGTGCATTTGACTGGCAACGAATATTTTTAAGTGAATTCAGTCGTAATTCCTTGTCTTGACCACTAAGGGGCTCTATTGAGCTGTTTTTAAATCTCAAATTCAATTGCATTTCACCTTGTTGAGCACTAGAGGGCGCCAAGATGAATTCCAGAGATCTGCATTATATCAGGAGACCAAACATTTCTGTTCCGTCAAATCTTCATTTCAAGCTTCGTGCTCTTTGGCAAAACGCTAAATATATAAACCTATTTATCTTAGTACCAAAATGCACGTGTATAAAACAGAATCTAGCTACATAGATTATATAGATTTTAATTCCCTGCAAAAGTCAATCGGAATCAATCCATTGAATGAACTTGTGGGAGAAATCATATATGAGCCAAATAACAGAGGTCTCTGCTCACACGGGGTTTGCTCCTCTGTCATGACAGATTCTCTGTACATTCCATATGTTTCAATTCTCCTCATGATTTCTGTTGCGGTTCGGTGTGGTCTTGAGTGTAAATGAGCTGTGTACAGGTGTGCTGGACAGTGATCTACATGACTTTGACTGTCAAATTCTTGAGCAAGAGATTGTTTTGCACATTTCCGTCTTGATTTACTAAAACTGAAGGGATGCTGTAGGGCACAATCCTCTGACCTTTTGTAGGGGGAAGAAAATTATATTTTTAAAGATCTATGGATTTATTTTCTCTGATGTAAATAGCATAGCCAAGACAATTTTAACACTACTTTATTTCTCTTCTTGCTATGGCTTCTTGTAAGTATGGAAGATATGTATATTCGTGAGCATTTATGGCCAGGTTTGCTATGTATGCACTCATTGATCGAGCTGTGTACATATTTTTCTTTGGGAGGAAGTGACAATTTTGTGAGCTAAAAAAAAAAAAGAGGTTATTTCATTGAACTGACTGTTTGCCGGATATTTCACTATGAGGAACCACAAACAGATACTTAGTATGCATGCTTGATATATTTGATTGCTGAATTTTATGCTTTGATGATCCAGGTATCATATTTATCAAGCTTTTTAGAATTAGGTTCAGTTCTCTCGTGGGACATGCATTGAGGTCGAGGAGATATATTTATGTATAAAGTCCCTAAATGCTGTAATAAAGCAATATTACGGTTTTAATGTGAGAGGTAAACATTCTTAATGTTATCAATTACATTTATATGAGTTATTTCTAAAAAGAACATTGCAGTACAATTTGAGAGAATTCAAGTTTTTAATTGAGTTTTAATACAGGCTGTGTGCCAAAACATGTCACTTTGATAAGAAATGAAGTTACTTTAGATTTTATTTTCTTGTGTTCACGCTCAAATAGTTACATCCTCCTGTATGCAAATTACATTTCTGAGCAAAAAGAAAGAAACAAATTCATGATCAAATAAATTTGATACTCTCAGATTCTGGTGTTCCTGAATGGTTCTTTACGGCTGTCATTAGCGAGTCTGGCAGGGTCCGGAGGGAAGGCTGAGATGGAATGAGGGATGAGGAGAGGTGAAAGAGGCTACTGTGGCCGTGTGGACGGGACACCTGTTGTCCTCGCTGCTTCAGCTCTGAGCTCTCTGAGATTTGCATGTCAAAGGTGCTGGTGTGCTCCTCTCTCCTCATCTCCTCATCGCTCCCCAGCGTTTCCCAGAACCCCTCCTGTCAGCGGATGTACCCATACAAAAGCATTAGTCAAACCTCAAATGGAGCCAATAACTGGCCTCTAAAATGCAATCTAAAGAGTGAGTATGACTGTTTATAACTTAAATGCTCAAGGCTTCTGTCATTCATTTCCAGTTATTTTAGCTATACTAAAACCGGTATTTATTACCATTATAATTTATTATTGTTATAAAAACAACTAAATTGCCAGCCACTCACAATTAAATCCAGGCTGGAGAAGTTCAAGCAAAAATATATTTTATGTAAACTAAACACTGCAAAAGGGGTGCATTAAAAACTAGACCAACGCAAGCAAACACCACATTGCTCAAGTTACTTCAGTGTTCACATTACATCCACCATTCACCCTGTTTCTGGATTACTAATTAGAGATAATCAGCTGGATTCAATTAGCAAGTGGAACTAAAAAAAAAAGGTAATTATACAAAACCATAATAAATATACAAGACGAATATGCAAATCATACAATGCAAAAAAAATGCAAGAAATTTAGAATTCATTCCAATTCATACCCTAAGGCAGTGAATCTCAACCTTTTGGCGTACCGGACCCCAGTCCAATTCAGAACCATCCTCAAGGACCCCAGAACAAAATTGACTCATCTATGTATCATTTGTGTCTTTGTGAGGACCAAATACAGTCAAGTATAATTCAAGTTAGCTGACTTGTCCAGTATTCGGCCATATCATCAGCTATAATTTATTTTTCTTTCATGGGAACATGTGATGTCAAAATATACAAAATTTATACAAAAATTCATACTTTATATGGACCCCCTGGCCTTACGTCAAGGACCACTAGGAGTCCACGGAAAACTATAAGAATCTCTTGTCTCTATCTCTGCCTCTTCAATTAGGTAAAATCCTCTCAATTATTGTTACTGTTATAAAAAATAAATTGAAACGCAGGCACAATGCTTAACTATTTGTTTGTGGTTATTTGTACGGTTGAACTTAATCATCCACGATCAATAGCAAAAACATTGGTTAATAAAGTGAGATTAAATCCATAAAGCAGATCTGAATTATTTAATGTATGATTTAATTGTTGGAATAAGGATAGGTGTTTGTATTTCCCTGCAAGTGCATTTTTATTCATTTCGAGGAAAACTGAATGTTTTGTGTGACTGAGATGAACAAAGAGCATCTACTGCAGAAATCAGCATCTGTCTGGAGTCTATAGTTAAGCAACACATACATATTTCTATACAAGTATAATCCAAATGAGTCGTTGAGCTCAAATTTGTACAAATATTTGTTTTTATTTTGAAAGAAAACTGTACATTCATAGATAAAACACTAAATTATTTAGTGATATATCATTGTTCACTCACTTCCTCCCTACGTAGTGCCCTTCGGATTATTATGTGGAATCTTGCTTATGTCAAATGAACCATGGGTTTCACAAACGACAGATATGAAATACACAATACGTTGAGACATTCCTTTGGAAATCAATCTGGGGATTTGAGCAGAGTAGGGAAAGCTCATAAACCATCCTGTAGGAAACGCTGTGATTATTTATGAGCGCTTAAGACAAAAATCCCCTCTCCTGCATGAGGTGTAGCGGACGTCCGATCGTACGGAACAACTGTGTGGCTTTCCCATTTCTTCCTCCTTTTGTACTCCTTACTTTTCCATTTTTTTTGTTCCTCTTGTCTCCTCCTGCTCAGTCACTGGCACTCATTTCCTGTCATGCTTACTGTCATTTTACAAGAAACCATCTTGTCATAAGATTACTTCACTGAAAATCAAAATTCTGTCATTTGTTTCTGGCATGGAAGGCATAAAATCTGAGACAGGTGACCCAGACATCACCCTCTGAGGCCTGCAATACCCAGACCTGAGGCGGCCACACAGCCACGGAGAAAAAACATGATAACTGTGATTTACATAAGCGTCACAACATTTGAAAAGGACCAGATGGACATCCTAAGTTGTTTCGTTTTTAAGCTGTGTTTTTAATATATATTCTTTTGTTTTTCATAATTCAGTTTAAATGTTGCTGAAAACCCTAACGTAGACCATTTAATAGTAGATTCATATTGGGGCATGTTGTCACAAAAGGGCAGAGTGCATGTTTGTTTATTTATTTATTTATTTCAGGACAGTAAAAAAAGTAAGGACAGTTTCAGGACATTCAAAAGTAAAGCCTCAGAAGTATTCAGAAGAGTCAACGTGTGACCGTCAGCCCCTATATATTCCCTTACATATACGTTTTAATAGACAATCTTTCCATTGAATAAAACAAAACTATTTTATAAATCATTATAAATAATGTTTGTTTAAATGCAGCATTCACATTTCTCTCTTCTTCCGTACTGTAGCTGAGTTTGTGTGTTAGTTGTGTGGAGCAGTGTTTGTTAGTTCAGATGATGGCCGTTGGCATGGACACATCCAGTAGTCCGTGTGGGTCAGGAAGTTGGTTCTGTCAGGTCAGGGTCAGAGGTCAAACAGATGCTTTTACTGTGGACAGAGGGCAGGAAGAGGAATTGGGCTGTTTACTCCTGCTATAGGAGGACTCCGGGATCAACAACTCGCTCAGTCGACCTCAC